CGCTTGGGGTATGTCTCTATCAGTTTTGCACATCGAGAGACTGGAATTCTTGCCCATTCTTCCTTGCAAAACAGATTGAGCTCAGTGAGGTTGGATGGAGAGCGTTTGTGAACAGCAGTCTTCAGCTCTTTCCACAGATTCTCGATTGGATTCAGGTCTGGACTTGGCCATTCTAACTCCTGGATACGTCTATTTGTGATTTGTAGATTTGGCTTTATGTTTTGGATCATTGTCCTGTTGGAAGATGAATCTCCGTCCCAGTCTCAGGTCTTTTGCAGACTCCAACAGGTTTTCTTCCAGAATGGTCCTGTATTTGGCTCCATCCATCTTCCCATCAAGTTTAGCCATCTTCCCTGTCCCTGATGAAGAAAAGCAGGCCCAAAGCATGATGCTGCCACCACCATGTTTGACAGTGGGGATGGTGTGTTCAGGGTGATGAGTTGTGTTGCTTTTACGCCAAACACATCGTTTTGCATTGTGGCCAAAAAGTTCGATTTTGGTTTCATCTGACCAGAGCACCTTCTTCCACATGTTTGGTGTGTCTCCCAGGTGGCTTGTGGCAAACTTTAAACAAGACTTTTTATGGATATGTTTGAGAAATGGCTTTCTTCTTGCCACTCTTCCATAAAGGCCAGATTTGTGCAGTGCACGACTGAATATTGTCCTATGGACAGACTCTCCCACCTCAGCTGTAGTTATCTGCAGTTCATCCAGAGTGATCATGGGCCTCTTGGCTCCATCTCTGATCAGTCTTCTCCTTGTTTGAGATGAAAGTTTGTAGGGACGGCCGGGTCTTGGTAGATTTGCAGTGGTCTGATACTCCTTCCGTTTCAATATAATTGCTTGCACAGTGCTCCTTGAGATGTTTAAAGCTTGGGAAATCTTTTTGTATCCAAATCCGGCTTTAAACTTCTCCACAACAGTATCTCGGACTTGCCTGGTGTGTTCCTTTGTCTTCATGGTTCTCTCTGCGCTTTAAACAGAACCCTGAGACTATCAAAGAGCAGGTGCATTTATACGGAGACTTGATTACACACAGGTGCATTCTATTTATCATCATCAGTCATTTAGGACAACATTGGATCATTCAAAGATCCTCACTGAACTTCTGGAGTGAGTTTGCTGCACTGAAAGTAAAGGGGCCGAATAATATTGCACGCCCTACTTTTCAGTTTTTTATTTGTTAAAAAAGTTTGAATTATCCAATAAATTTCGTTCATCTTTATGTCTGAAGCCTGAAATGTGGCGAAATGTTGAAAGGTTCAAGGGGGCCGAATACTTTCGCAAGACACTGTATATATATATATATAAAAACACAAAAAGCATGAGAAATACCAAGGGGTCAGAGAGGAGCTGGAGAGGGCCTGGAGGGTAAAGGTGACAGTAGTAAGTAAGTAAGCAAGTAATCTTTATTTATATACCGCCTTTTCACTGCACATCGGAGTCTCAAAGCGGTTTACAATTGTTATTTTTTGGGAGTGGGGGTGCCAGTACAGGAGGCACATGCAAGACCTATTGTACATATTTTTAGTAGTAGTGCCTGTGGTGATCGGTACACTCGGGGCAGTGACCCCGAAGCTAGAAGAGTGGTTACAGCGGATCCCTGGAACAACCTCTGACATCTCGGTCCAGAAATGTGCAGTGCTAGGAACAGCAAAGATACCGCAGAGAACCCTCAAGCTCCCAGGCCTCTGGTAAAGGACCCGAGCTTAGAGATGGAACCGCCCGCAGAGGGCCAAAGATGAGTGGACAATTTTTTATTTATATATATATATGTATGTATATATATATATATATATATATATAATATTTTATTATTACCTATTATATATTTATTAGTGATGGGCAAATAAAGCCCTGTAACACCGTGTTGAAGCCTCTGAGTTTAGACTAGCTTCTAACACTGACATCTAGTGGACAAATTAAATAATTACAGAAGTTGATTCCAAATGTGGTTCTGTTTTCATACCGTTTCATATTGTCACATATAACTATAACAAGAGAGCATCCTACAGCAGCAAAACATTGGTAAATTGCAGTTGTTAATTTATTTTTCAGGAATCCTTTAATTGAATACAAGTTTACATCTAAAAACCATTTACTGAAACAACGGGACTGAACTGTATGCGGAGATCACAGGTTTGTATTAAAAAACAACAGTTTTTCAACAGTTATCGGTTTCAGCCTCTTTTCAAAATTACATTTATTGTTGCTGTATCAAAATGTGGCAAGGATTTGGCGCGTAAACCCTGGCAGAGCACTACATGATTGCAGAAGGGAGGGAGATTATGCAGTGAAATTTTCCGGGGCCTAAACCCTGGTGGTGGTAGCTAGGAGAAGGATGCAAGAGCTGGCCCGTAACGAGGCGGAGATGGGGAGGAGGAGGGTTGCTGCGTGAATGAAGCTGCTGCTGAGACGGAGCTTCCTCTCGATTTCCGTGTGGTGCTGTAGCTGAGTGTGATTGACTGATGCTGTTGCTGTGAAGCAACAGTGGGAGTGTGAGTGCTGTGAACTTAGCTCCTCCTGTCTTCCAGTCTGAATTTCCGCTTTAGCTTCATTACACTTACAAAAGCACTGAAAAAGCGTGTCTGGCTGTGGGGCGCCTGCAGTTCTCTCCAGCAGGGGACGTGACTAATCCCAAATTTACATCAAGCGTCTTCAGCAGGTTTTTGGCATAAAAACAAACAAAGATGCGGAGGATACCTCCAAGAATAGCTTTTTGTTATAATGAGCTTGACAATATAAACCAGAAATTAAATGTGCCCATTCAACAATACATATTTATATTAGATTTATTTTTAGGGGGGCGACAGTGGCTCTGTTGGTAGAGCATTGACCTTTTGGCCTGAAGGTCATGGGTTCAAACCCACCACGAGACCTAGTTCACGACTCCTTCTGATGTCTGAGCTATCAGACTACCACCCCCCAACCCAGAAATGGATTAAGGGGAAGAAAATGGATGGAGTTATATTTCTAACTCTATCACAACTACGACATGCTGCATATGTCTGCAGCATGTTGTAGAATGACCCTGGTATAAATTGAACGCTATTAAATGGTACACCAAAACTGCGTTATGTTGGTGTAAATTTCAGAGTAAGTAATCTTTTTTTATACAGCGTAATTTTACAGACCAAGGTCATCCAAAGCGATTTGCAATGTGCAGATACTGTTCCAATCACTCCACACTGTGATGACAAAAGCCAGACACTGAAGACACACGCATCAAAGCCCTAACAACACCATCCATTCACTCACTCAGTGAGTACCCGGAGGAAAGACACGGGGAGAACATGCAAATTCCACTCAGAAAGGCTCTTTATGCTGAGAAGTGAGAATGCTATCCACTCAGCCACCGTGTCACCCTGACTAGTTGGTAGAGTGGACTTAAGAGGGAGATACGCAACTGAAATCAGAGTATTTTGAGTTTGAAATTATAAAATGTAAATACCAGAAAAATATTTCATTGAATGATTGTGGCGTCTATTATCATCCTCCCCAATTCTTACCCACTACATCTAGATTGGCTCAGCACATGTAGGGCTGGGCGATATAAACGGTATAAGCGGTAAAACGGTATATAAATTTGGCCCACGGTAGAGATTTTTGTTATACCGGCATATTGTGATAGGTCATTATGTCATCAAATTGCGCAGGCTCTGACACCAGCAGAGAGCATCAAAACAAACCGGCATTCAGCAGCATTAGCCTAGCATTAGCCTAGCATTAGCCTAGCACTATTGGACACCACTGGAAACAGCGAACAGCAGCACGGCATTAACACCGTGTTTCTGTCTATGTATTGTTGTCACAGCGGCCCCAGCAGAGGTAAATACACACACAGTAATCACAGCTACCTTTTGGCCAATCAGTGTCAAAGGGGCGTGGGCTCGAAGCGCCAGCGTGACCCAAAATAGATCCATGCGTGTGCCGTGTCCGCAGCATCATCACAGTTTGGGAAAGTTAGCGTCAGATTCGGACCTCCACGGTCAATATTTGACGAAAGCTACTTTGTTAAACAAAATTAATTGTGCCAAAATGATCATTTACATCAATTGTTCAAATCCAATGCACTGTTTTAATGAACATAAATCCATTGAATCATCCAGTTCACTGCAAGTGCAAAGAAAAGCGCTTAGAGAGCGTCAACAAATCGCAAGACCAGCTTTGTAAACGAACAATAGCTTTTACTAAAGCCATGTACCTGCACAAAACTCTCAGACGCTACAAAAAATGACCATGTCTAACTACTGCATGGCTTTGATTTCAACATTTGTGAGTGTTTTTATTTTCTAAATAAATACATATGTTTTTCTTTTCTTTTTTTAAATTGCTTTTACAGTAAATGGTCTTTACTGTAACTCACATAAATAATGTATGTTACAGCATTTGTCTCTTCATTTGTCTCACAACTCAAAAAATAAATTCTAATATATAAATAAGTAACACACCAAATTATACCGTAATATATACCGTCTACCGTCTGTGACCCAAATTATACCGCAATATGAATTTTAGGCCATATCGCCCACCCCTAAGCACATGGAATCTAACCGAATCATATTTAATTGGAATATTGATTTCATTATTCATTATTGTACAGATTTGTTTTGTTGTGAAAAAGCCCAGCATTGTCTTTTGGCAGATAACCCATATAAATGTGCATCGTAACGTTCTGTGTCATAACTTTAGTGAGCATGCTAAGAGTGAATATTTGAGAAATTAAATACATCTTCTAAAGCCACAGAGCAGGGCACCCAGGATTCCAGGGAATCCCATTATAATGGACTACGACAAGCTTGTCATCGACGTGAAAAGTGTCATTGGCTGAAGTGTTCCCACTGAGCACACCTCGGCAAATAGACTAGGTCACAAAGCGGGATGAAAGGTCGTTTCCGTGTTTAAGGAAGAGGCGATCCCGTGTTTTTCCTTCGTGGGAATGATACTTATGTGTGTATGTGTCTGTGTGTGTGTGTGTGTGTGTGTGTATTTCATCTTACCCTCTGTGGTACTTGAATGCAGTCTTTGGCACAGCCCCTCTGTGTCCCCATAACTGTCTTGAATCTTCTGCAGTGCGTCAGTTCCTCTCAATTCCATCAGTTCTCTTAGTTCCGTCACCGTCACCCCAAAGTCTCCCCCCGCATGTCCCCCGTCCGACTTGACACTGCCCCCTCGCCCTTTTGGGTAGAACTCCACCGCGCTGTTGGCCATCTCTCCCATGGTGGCGCTGGTGGACATATCACGAAGGCTTCCTCTGCTCTAGACCCTGGCCGTGTTCAGCCTATGAAGTGTAACTCCTGAGACAGATGCAGCACAATTGGTCGTGTCAGTGCGCCATTAGACTTCCCCCCCCTCCGTGGTTATAGGTGCAGGTCCATGCGGCTGGCAGACACTAGGGGCAGTGTGGGGAGGAGGCAGAAGGAGCTCAGAGACTGCACCAGCGCGACCTGCACAGACAAGACAGTGGTAATGTTATTACTTTGAATCCGTTTTTTATGATGCAGCTGCTTTGCCCAGAAAGTTCACACGGCAATAAACTTATCTATCTTTTATTTATTCAATTACACTGTCATTGCATAGCATACAAACACGTTAGCATCTCTTTGCGATGTGAGATACCTTTAGACTCGTGGTTCACAAAGATGGGTTGGTTTTAAAGAAGTCATATTATGCAGTATTTTTGGCCACTAAAATGATAATGAGACTAACTTATTTACTTTGTCATTTTGTATTTTAGAATGTTTGATCATATTAATAGTAGAACATATATGGTGAAATAAGTGGTAGGGGTATATTGCCTGCCTATAACTCCCTATGCTACCACCAGAAAGAGGAGTTGATTTTTTTTTTTTCAAATTTGAAAATATGATTGTTCATGTGATTGTAATGAACATCATTTGATAAATTGCCAAAACTAATTGATGGGCAATACTTTTGTTTTCAAAGGTAGAAATGCTGTGTGAATTCATAGTTGTACAATGACATCATACTACTACAGAACTGATACAGGGTCTTTTATACAGAAGGGATGAAGATACATGTTGGTGCCAGAAGTTCAACTTCAAGTCTGTTTTTTTGTTCAAACAGAGTGAAAGAATAAAAATGGCGATAATAATGTTAACCTCCATGACAACGCATGACTTTAGCCAATATCGTGTAACATACAAGCCATCGTCAAAAGTATTTTCACCTGACCCCACAATTGAAATGACATTTGACAAAATAATGTAAACGACTGAAACAAACAATACTACAATGTCCACATGTTAGGTTTAAAGGTTTCTCAGCACTGGGGGTTAATTTGAGTTGATTTCACACTTATTTAGGGAGGTCCTGAGCGTAACCCCTGGTGTGATGTCTTTCTGTCCATGTGACTGTCTGTGCCTATTATCTGCAGTTGTTGGAAGAAAAAGGCTTTTAAGTTACCTTTTGCGTTTGCTGACCATGTAATAAATATTAGTTGAAATTCAGTGTATGGAAAACCAGAATTGCATAATTCTATTTCTAATGGAAGAACCAGCTGATTAGTGCGCCCTGTTATAGCATCCAGTACAATGCGCGACAGACGTAAAGGCGAACAGCTTAAACAATCCTATCATTGCGCACCACTGCCTCTGAACCTGGAGGTCAAAACTGCTCCACTTCAGCACCATTGCAGCCTGTCTCAGGGGAAACTTATAAATAGAAAATCAAAATTATTCATGTCACATTTCCCTCAAAACTCATCAAACATAAATCAGAGCAGGCCGACAGCGTTTAAGCGCTAGTGTGACTCAGCGCAAGACGTGGGCTCTCACAAATGTTTGAGAGGATTGTTGTTTTTTTTTCTGCTTTTTGCCAAGTTCCAATATTGTTCCTTCATCAGAAACACATACCACAGTTGTCACGCACTTTTAGCACAAACACATCCCCCGCCTCCTCTGACTAAAACATAATAGATTTGTCCTCAAAAATTGTGTTGTGAATTTGGTGAATTTTGTCTACAGTTGACTGCAGCACATGATTTAAAGAGAAGTGTAAAAAGAAAAGGTTTATGTTTCATTCTAGTTTGGTACATTATTTGTGTTTTGAACAAAATATTACTTTTTAATAAACATGGGTTTGAATAGTACAGCATGGTATGGAATGCTTAGATTAAAAGTAAAGATGGCTGATTACTTTTGACTGATTTACAGAATCATTTTGTTTGATAAATTATGTAACAATTTTGACAATTTGGAGTAAAAAAAAATAGTTCCTATGAAAATGTCTTTTGAAATGGGATATATATAGCATAATGGCCAGATGGGTGAAAGTCAGGCTGATAGCCAATATTTCTAAAACATATAAATATAAAAAAATCGTCCCGTCGGTCTTTAAATTCTTTACATGCATAAATGTAGAGCTGTAGCTAACAATTATTATGATAATCGATTAGTTGAAATATAGTGATTATTTGTAAGCAGCTTTTTAACACAAAAGTGGATTACCCATGCATTGGTCAATCAGCTCTTGCAGATAGTAACTCACAAGTATGCAACACAATGTGGCACAAATTATGTGATCAAAGGGGAGAGTGTGAGGATTAGATAGCTGCAAGACTATACAAGGACTCTTCTTATTGTGCATCCATGTTTTGACTATGATGTGCTCTGTCTCTGTGTGACACGTATGTCTTTCGATGTGTGACGTAACAATGACTATACAAACTGTGTACTGCCTTTATTCTGACTGAGAGAGAAAGAAACATCAGAAACCACTGGAACTTGAGAGAAACCAAAATAAACTTCCAGAGTTTGGCGCACCACGATCCGTCTCTGTCTGGTTCACAGTGATGGGCAGTAGCGTCGCTACAAGTAGCGTCGCTACTAGCTTAACTACATTTTTCAGTAGCTTGACAGTAGCGTCACTATTTACAAAACCTAGTAACTTTTCTGTAGCTAAGCTATATTATTGCTCAAGTAGCGCGGTAGCGTCCGCCAAAGCTATTTTCTCACGGACATCTCTGATGTTCACATATTACAGCATTTTCCCGCAGCATAAAACAAACATATAGAAAGACAGAATGCTGATGCGCATGCGCAGGGCTTGGTAACGACACACACACACACGAACGTACGCGCGCACGCACACGCACACACATGCGCGCGCGCTACTGGGCGAAGCAAAAGCATGGCAGAGAGCCCAGGAGCCGCCGCGGTGGAGGAGGACCATGATAAGGACTCTCAAAGTGTTGTACCGTGGCCATACCTCCAAAAGTACGTCACTCTAGTCGAGATGAGCGAAAAGAAATATGTTTTCAGATGCCTACTCTTTGTTGTTTTTGGTGTTTTGGGCTATTGTTCAATAAATATCTACAAAATGTTAACCTTTATCTGACTGACAGTTTATCTCAAATAAGAAGATAAGCTTAATTAATCTCACACAGGAGAAATTTACATGTCACATTTGGCATGGATAAAACACTCAAGAATTGTGCAAAAAATAAGAAATGAGCAAACATGTTAATGCAGGAAAATATAAAATTGCATGAACTGCAGTTTGTTTAATTGAAAATAGCTTCTATATAGCAAGCTACTTTTGACAGAATTTTGTAACTTAGCTTGCTACATTTGTATGGGTGGTAGCTTCTGTGTAGTGAAGCTGAATTTATTGTAGAGTAGCTTGTAGCTTAGCTCACTACACAAATCAAGTAGCTTGCCCATCACTGCTGGTTCATTCCTGACAATTGACTCGCTTTTGTCACAAAGTTCAGTGTTTACAAAAAGCATGGTTGAATCAAAACATTTTTGCACATCCTACAGTGTCCCGTAAACGCATTTTTTTTCCTAGTGCTTTCTGGATGCATGTTTCCAGTCCAAGCAGAGCCAAGTGGAGGAGTGCAATGTTAAGGATGAGCGCAGCAGAGTGAGTCAGTCCGACCGTAGATAACAGTGACAGTGACGTGGGGGGGGGGGCCCGCGGGATACTCTCTCTGTCTTCACTGTCAGCTCCACTTGTGCACACAGGACACACAAGTCTAGACTGGCTCTGTCATCTCCACCAGCAGCAAAACAACACACTACAAAGTACACACTTACAAATAAGTAACTTTTTTTTCACAAAATTGTATCCACTTGGCTTCTTTCCCTTGGTCTTTAGCACAGTTAAAAGATTCCACAATAATTCGGTCCGTTTATAGTTCCTTCAATATGCTGTTGAAATTTAAACCGTAGCTTGAAGCCGTCTATCAACCCGGGGTTAACCCAAATGGAGTAAAGTACAAAACATAGTGCAACATGCGCCTGCACCAGTTACCAAACCCCCCCAGCGTACGACACGCTCACGATCACAAATATTGGCTCGTGAGGTGTGTTTGGCCAGAGAACCTGGTGCTTCATTCATCATTACAAACATGGTAATAGGTCTAAACGTCCATAAATTCCCTAAATAATTCCACACATGCCAGTAAGTGGACATGTACAACACTATTGGAACCTCAAAACCCAGTGTCCTTGATGTGCATGAAAACCGGCAAATGAAAGCGCTCGTCTTAACCTTCTGCATTATCTGTGCCTCAATGTCAATCAGACACCTTCAATTGGAAGTGCCCTGGCTTAATCCTTTTACACATGACGAAACAAGCATTACATTTGGCCCATTCTGAACCTGAAGGTACCCCTGCTCCGGACCAGAGTTGCTGCACGGAGGATGTTACCACGGCAACTGGCTTGAACCTAAACTCTTTTCAGCAACGAGAAACTCTGAGTTCCCTCAAAGTAAACCTGAACTTCTTGTCATTGGTGTGAGGCCATACTATCTGCCACGGGAGTTTGGGCATGTAATCATTATAGCAGCTGTTAGGATTTAAGCAGACAGAGACGGATCGTGGTGTGCCAAACTCTGGAAGTTTATTTAAGTTTCTCTCAAGTTCCACTGGTTTACTCTGTTTCTTTCTCTCAGACAGAATAAAGGCAGTACACAGTTTATATAGTCATTGTCACGTCACACATCGAAAGACATACGTGTCACAAAGAGACAGTCAAATCATAGTCATAACATGGAGTCCTTGTAGAGTCCTTGTACAGTCCTGCACGTAGGCCATATTGCTATCTAATACTAACACAGCCTACATCCCTCCATCTGCAAAAGCAGACAGTGCATGCGATGCTCTGCTCTCCACTGTCAGTGACCTGCAGACGCAGCACCTTCAGGCCTTATTAATTATTACTGGGGACTTAAACCACGCGTCCCCGGCTTCTACACTGCCATTTTTCACA